GCTGCTTGGTCAGCATATGATGAAGTGAGTTCTAGTCCAGAAACACATATGCTAGAAGAAAAATTTGCTTAATTTTTCTGGTACTGAGCAATTGCTGTTTTTGGATAATTGTGTTACTTGAGCAATTTTCTTCTTTTCCAAGTGGCAGATTCTAGATGTGTGACAAAGACAGCTTCTGTAGCTTCAGTAGCAAATGGATTTCCCATTTGGGTGGAAGGTTTGTGTGTGTGTGATGTGGGTCCCGCGGGTTCCTCATTTTGTGCGGTTTTCCTTTGCAGGCATGGCTTCCAGACAATCATTGCAATCAGGAACCTGCAGAAACTGACAGAGGTGAGTGCGTGAGACATTACAGTAAGATTTTTAAAAAGAGATTGGTGAACAATACAGCAGTGTTGGATAAGTTCCAAACGATGCACAGCAGCTGATGAACGATGGGCTGAATATTTTGAGTAATTCTTGTTAAGATCGACATCTGCATTTCTATAGCTTTGTGCTATTGGAACTCATAAGACTGTACCAGTTTGACGGCTCTCCTAACAGCCCATGAAGAACTTCATGCCACAGCTTGAAAATTTGATATAACCTGTTTTGCTGATGGCCAGATGGCACTGCCTTTTGGAAACAAATCAAAGTTTTGGTGGAGGCAGCCTTGCTGAGATCCCCATCAGAGTGGAAGGCAGCTCGAGTAAAGTCAGGGGTCATTTCCTGCAGGAGTGCACAGGAGCGGAGCTCCAGCAGTAAAGAGCCCAGGGGGCGGGCACATACAACAAGCCCCACCCCCTGCTCTTAGCAGCCCTCAGTCAGAGCAAGAAGCAGCCAGGTAAGCTGCAGAGCTCCCCCCAGTCCAAAACAGTCCAGTGGCACCTTTAAGACCAAGTTTTATTCAGGTACAAGCTCTCCCTCCTCTGCGAGGACAGATCTGCACGTCCCCCCCCCCTAAATAGCTAGCAATCCAAAACAGTCCAGTGGAACCTGAGTGGTGGGTGTTGCCTTCTGACACACTTCCGGTGATGTCAGGGTGTGTGGCATATGCAAATGAGTTATGCTAATAAGCTCCTGCACCTATTTTTTTATGAAATGACCCCTGGTGAAAATCATGGAGACCAAAGAAATAATTAGGCTAATTAAATTGCATGTTAAGAAATTGGATATTAACAGCACACCTGTCAGGGCCTGCAGAGTATGCTCAGTGTCCTATTTAGGTATAGCCCTCCCAATGCGACTGTCAAAGTACTTTTATCAGTTGACTATACCAAAAGCTCAGAAGAGCTTTTACTTTAGCCAGATGAATTCTCTCCCATTGGCGGTCTTGGAGGGCAGATATAAAAAAGTGCCATACACAAATAGAATATGTAGATGCTCATCTGATAAAGTTGAAACTACTGAGCATATGATTATGGAGTCCTATATTTAATGAGTTGAGGGCCAGTTTAATTACTCCTTTACTCCAAATGATGGAAAGGTCTAACGAGGCACCTGATAGTATGACGGAACAGGTGACATGGTTGTTATCAGATACAAATCATTCTTGTTACTCTGTTTGAGGTAAAAAAATTAGGGGCAATAATTAAACAGCAGCAGAAGAATATCAAGGCATTATTTTATTTTATCATTTTATTTTCTGCTCAAGGCTATAGCTGTATGAGCAGTAACAGACAGATAGAGACGCAAGGTGGATTTGCTTTTTGGGAGATTCTGACTGTCAAAGTAAGTAAACATATATTGAAGTAACTCTGAACTGCCAGCCAGAAATGTTGACACAATATGAAAAGTTTCTGTTTTTTATTTTTCAATAAAGTGCCTTTGAAAAGAAAAACATTTTGGTGCTTGTTTTAAAAATCTTCCAGGTAGCTTATGGAAAGATTTGGAAATCAGATTTTTACACTGTCACGTATCAGATCCAGATGGGGCTGAAATAACTTCTTGTATCTACCTTGCCAGGAACAATGAGTGCCCCCCCCCTTTTCCACACATACTTTTGGGGAAATTCAGACCAGCTCATACAGGGCTTTTTGACAACCCAGGCATTCTTTAGGTTGAAACCTTCTTAAATGACACACGCATAGAACTCTCGCAGCCTCAGGTCCTTGCTTAGGGTAAGAAGCAGAATTCATATGTGAATCTCCATTTTAGATCTGGGCCTAGAGCAGTGCCAGCCAAGGGCCTTGAACACTTAATGCTCCCTTTGGATTGCAAGATGTGCCCAGGAGAACAAGCATGTGCCGCTTAGTCATCTCCAAGACTGGCATTACACTTTCAGGTATGTGGCATGAGAGTTGGCTTGCTTTAAGGAATTAGCATGGGGGATCTGGCTCCCTGCAGCAGAGAGCTTCTCACTGAGTTTCCGGTTGATCAGCTCCACATGCCTGGCGTTTTTCCTGGCTTGTCGGAGTGACCGCTTCACCTTCTTCACTCGATTACGTAGCTGCTTGTTGTGCTTCTCCAGGGCTGTGACTGTCTGCTGGAGCTTCTTCACGCGGTCTTCTTCATCGAACAAGGCCTTCTGGATTGAGGAGCACATCAGCTGAAATGACAGACCCACAGGAGTGCTGAATGAACAAACACTCCCAGAAGATATTTGCCCTCTTCTAGCCAACAGTCACCTCATGTTGCTTTTAATATTTATTAAAACGTCTTTCTGATCAGGGCTAGCCTAGCATATAGCTTAGAGATTTATTATATTGACCCAGCCTGAAGAATGCCCATGTACTGATTTCCTCCTGCTGTCTTGGTTTTCACAGTTCACCATGAACTCCTACCCAGGCAAGTCATGGCTGGTGATAAAGAGAATAGGCTCCAAGCCATACTTTGCATCCTTACTTGAAAGGGTTGCCAGTCCCCAGGTCCCAGTGGGGGTTCCCCCACTTTTCGGGGCTTTAGACTGCCACCAGCCACCGGCTGGCAGGGGAACCCACCCCCAAACATCCATGTCTAGATGTGACATCTCCAAAGTGATGATGTCACCCAGAAGTGATGTCACCATGTTGGGGAAGTCACGTGCAATGCTCTGGTTTGAGGGCAAAACTCTATGGTAAATTTGGCCTAAAACCATAGAGTTTTGCCCTTAAACCAGAGCTTCATGTTGATGACATCCCAGAATGTGCCCCAAATCCCCCTGGCAACCCTACTTGAAACCACAAATTGTAACCATGCTTTCAGTGTTAGCATTGGCTTGCTGGTTCTTTTTGATCTCTTGGTCTTCTTTTATTTTTCTGCCAGCAGGCAAAGGCACAGAACCCTTGCTCCTAGCTGCATTCTAACCAGGACTGTGGACTGGGGCAGTCATCTAACATTAATTCAGATTCATTCAGATTCATTCAGATTCCCTCCTCAAGCCAGGAAGGTGGGAAGAAGACGGGAGGGGAAAGAAGCCGCTGTGGATAGAATTGCTCTTTATGCCTTTTGTGGTTGGAGTAGCAGTTTTGATGGGTGCAATACACTACTGCATCTTTGGTGCTGTGTCTGCTCAGGATACTCACTTCACACACTGCAACGGCTCACATACCCCTCTGCCTATCTTTGCCCCCCTGGGAAGGTATGACAGTATGAAAATCACTGGATTAGCACACCCCATCACTTACATGATTCAGAAGTCACTGCAAGCTACAGTCAGAGGAAACCACTAATGGAGGAGAGAATCAGCACACAAGAGGAAGGGCAAGAGGGAGAGTCCAGACTGCACCTTGAACCCGTCCTCGAAATTGTGATTCAGAGCATGAAATCTAAATTAGGCCAGATTTGATCTACAGTTGCAACACTGTCCCAGTAGCAAATAAAGCAATTCAGAGTCTTCCAAAAGACAAGATCCTGGCAACTATTTACAAGTTAAAAAATTAGTCAATTAACCAACTTTTAGGAAGAGAGTATTAATAAAAATATTTAAACAAATGCACCAACACTAATCACCTTACTAAAACAGCCACCTCTGCATCAGCCTACTCCAATGACTCAGTCTGTTCTGTACTGCCTTTCTTGATAATTGCCATTGGATTAATTTCTTTCTCTGCCTTTATTTCATCTTTCTGGGGCATACCCACAGGTAGTATATGATTAATTTTTAAAAACTCAGTAGTTTTCTGTACATTATAGGTCAGAGAAACACATGGCTGCCACTGAAACAGCAGCCCTGCGTAGGATGGCCAGATTTTGTGTGTGAAAAAAGAGGTCACTGTTCACCAACAAGAATTTTTTTCTCAGATGCCCAGACAAGTAAAAAGTTCTTGCTGGCAAATGAAACAGGGCTACAGAAATCACCCAGCCATTGTGGATGGGATGGGTTTATACACACCCACATGTATATTGAAAACTAATGGGTCAGGGATTTCAGTAATCCGAGGAAAAGGGTGATACAACGGTGGGAAAAGAAGTTGGAATGGAAGGAGATGGAGATACGATTATGCTCAGCCTCCTTCCAATCTTCATCCCATCCTGAGGCACGTTGGTGGTGGGGCTAGTAATCCTATACTGATGCTGTGCAACGCCAGGTCCATTAAAAATAAGATCATGATGCTGCAGGGTTACCTTGCAGTGGACCTGGCATGCGTAGCTGAAACCTGGGTTAAAGAGGGCAAGACAGTTGCTCTGAAACAACTTGCTCCCCCAGGATTTTTGGTCCTTCATCAGTCTTGGACAAAGGGCCACGGGGTGGCAGTGCTCATCTGAGAGACTTTTTTCCTACAGGGTGCTCTGCATCCCAAAGATCTCCGGCACTGAATGTGTAGGCCTGTTGTGGGACACTGAGGAGAGTCTGGCCCTCTGTCTGGTGTACTGTTCACCGAGTACACCAGCAGAGAGGCTTCCCAACCTCCTGGAGGTGGTAGCAGGCTGGACCTTGGAGCTCCTGAGACTTATAGTACTTGGGGACTTCAACATTCATATTGATGCTGCTGTCTTTCAGCAGGCAGTGGACCTGGTGTCATCCATGATAGCACGAGGACTCTCCCAGATTGTATCAGGTCCCACACATCAAGTAGGCCACAAGCTGGACTTGATCTTCAGAATGGGGGTAGACAATAATCTGTTAGCCACAGATGAGGTGCCATGGTCTGAAGCCCTGAAGGCTTGACTGAGTGTCCCAACTCCCTCTTGACTAAGCAATGAGCAGATTTACGCCCACCCACGGAGACTAATGGACCCAATTGGGTTCCAAGCTTCTCTTCAGGATCCGAAGCCCCTGGCAACTCATTGGATGTGCTGATAGAGGAAGCCATCTCCCTGAAGCCATCGATGAGATTGCTCCCCAACATCCTCTTTACTCTCACCCCAAACTAGCTCCATGGTATACCACGGATATTAGAGGGATGAAGCAGGAGCTTAGATGACTAGAGTGAGCGTGGAGACAGTCTCGAGACGAAGGCTAAAGAGCATTTTATAGGACATTTATGAAGGCCTGTAAGATGGCAGTGAAGGCTGCTAAGAGGGAGCTCTATGCAGCCTCCATTGCATCCACTAGCTCCCACCCAGCACAATTGTTTAAGGTGATTATATCATTAACTTCTTTCACTGAGAATTCAAAAACTTTTAATGATTTGACTTTAAGCTGTGAGGCATTTGAGAGCTTTGAGGATAAAGTCATGTTGCTCTGCTGTGACCTCCCTGCCAACCTCTTGTTATTTTTTGGTCTTTTTTTAAATTAAGAAATTTTATTTAATGTCTTCTAAAAGCACGATGCCGCCAATGTCAAAAAAGGTTCATAAAAATACAGTTTGTTGGCAGTATGTGGAGAAACATTAAAAAGGCACCTAAAAACATCAACAACAAAGGCTCTAGCAGTGCAGTCGTTGTAAGGATTTAAAATTGTTCTTGATATCCAGACTAATGAAACAAAGAGGCAGCTGGATGAAAAGACTTGGCTGAACTTTACAAACACAGTGACAACCAAACACAAACTGCAGGATGCGGTAAACTATCTCTGTCCTTTAGAATCTGGCTTCCAGGGAACAACCAAACAAAAATGAACTATCATGGGTTAAGAGGAGTTGACAAGGGGGCAAGGGCAGCTGAAATCCTCAATAAAATATCACAGTCCTCTTTCACTGACCACACAGAGAGGAGAGAACCATAAAGACAGCAACAGCAGCAGCAGCAACAACAACAACAAAAAACAGTCACTAATGACACCAATAACAATACTGTCAAGTTCTAACTTCTAAATTTTTCTACTTACCATTTATTCCCCACTGGTATGGCACCCATTTGCCACCCTACCAAACTTGGCAAATCAATGTACTTTTGAAGTTAAAATGTAATTAAAAAGCCATCAAGACAAACTGTCCTCCACCATTAAAAATATTAATTTCAAAGTCATTTACAGGCAAAGGAAGTTCTACAATTTTTATAAATGTCTCTGAAGTCCCTTTTAAAGGCATCAAGGTCTAATCTTAAAAGTTAATTTTTTTCCCATGTAGACCTACAGGAGTCCTTATCTTTATTGTTGGCCTCACTGACAGAGGTGCTTTGGTCCTTGCTTTTTATAATAAGAGACTCCCATGAGGACTTGTTAGCTTCAGCTTGAAATGTTCTGTCGATAACCAATGATTCCCCCTCCAATGCATCATCTTTATTGGCATAATTGAAATTAACACCTTTGGTGGAGTAGAAGTAGATATTGACTTATCAGGGTCGTACAATCACTGCAACCTGTCAATATCAGGGACGAGGGAAGTCAAATCATCATCGTAGGTTCAAGTCTTTGCCTCGTTGTTAGGCATAAATAAATTAAAAGGTTCAGCTATAGTACGAAGAAGCTGTATGTTGGATCCCCAAGCATCGAGAATAAATCCACGTTTTCAAGAAAAGCAAAATTTATTTCAAAGCGTTGAAGACATACTCAAACACGTTCTTTGTTAGAACTGGGGATACACAGTTAGGTCAAGCATAATAAAGGAAATTCAAACAGATACAGATCCAATGAATAGCATTCCCGCTGGCGGGCTAATGAAACGGTTGCGCGCCCAGTCCATGGGAACCAGGCAGAACATCAGACAAAACACAGGTGCAGGACTCATGAGAAAAGCAATAGGCAAGCATTACAGCATCTTCTCCCCCACACAACCTCCAGCAGTTATCTTGTGCATTCCAACGCAGGAGCAGGATGATAGAAAACAAGCCGGGTGCAACAGGGAAAGGATATGTACACAGAGGTCACAGAAAACAGAATGGCAGCTTGCTGACATACTGCCCCCCTTAAAATACACTTACAACACACCTCCCGGGTCGGGCGGGAGATCTCCCGGGCTGGGCGGGAGACCTCCCGGTTTGTCCGGGAACCTCTTGTGGAAACTACGGATCAGGTAAGGGGCCCGAATATCCCCTTCTTCCACCCATTCGCGGTGCTGGGGACCGAAATCAACCCATTCGATAAGGTACCAGAGTTTACCACGTTTCAATTTACAATCAAGGATATCAGCGATCTCAAAATGTTCATCCCCTTCCAAAATGACAGGTGGAGGAGGAGTAACTGCTGGTCTCCAGGGAGACGGGCCAGGATCCTTCTTCAACAGGCTCATGTGAAAAACAGAATGC